TCTGTCTGTCCTCCGTCCGACGCGGGTGAGTGTGCCCTTTGCACGGACGTCCTTGAGGACAGGCAGGAGGAGTTCCAGTGTCTGGCAGCAACTTCACCTCATCTCGTGTCCGTACTGCTTACCCCTGAGGGAGACCCGGATGCACTTGACATCCCGACTCCGTGCTCTTACGCGGAGGCGATAGAGGGTCCCTACTCCTCTCAGTGGCAGGCAGCTATGGATGCAGAGATGGCTTCTTGGAAGTCCACAGGCACCTACGTTGACGCTGTCCCCCCTCCTGGGGCGAACATCGTCAGTGGCATGTGGATCTTCAGGGTGAAGCGGCCGCCGGGTTCTCCGCCTGTCTTCAAGGCGCGTTACGTGGCTCGTGGCTTCAGTCAGCGGCAGGGAGTTGACTACTTTCAGACCTTCTCCCCCACCCCAAAGATGACCACTCTTTGGGTACTACTGCACGTTGCTGCTCACCGTGACTACGAGCTGCACTCTCTCGACTTCAGCACTGCTTTCTTGCAGGGCAGCCTGCACGAGGAGATCTGGCTGCGCCGCCCACCTGGCTTCACTGGGTCTTTCCCTCCTGGTACCCAGTGGAGTCTCCGGCGTCCAGTCTACGGTCTCCGCCAGGCGCCACGTGAGTGGCACAACACACTGAGGACTACACTTGCGGCTCTTGGGGTTTTTCCTTCTACTGCCGACCCGTCGCTGTTTCTGCGCACCGACACCTCTCTGCCGCCGTTCTACATCCTTGTGTACGTCGACGACTTGGTCTTTGCCACAGCTGACACTACTGGACTCGCCTACGTGATGTCCGAGCTGCAGAAGAGACACACGTGCACTGACCTAGGTGAACTGCGCAGCTACCTTGGCTTGCAGATCACCCGGGACAGAGCACGCCGCACCATTACCCTGACTCAGTCACACATGGTGCAGCAGGTCCTTCAGCGCTTTGGCTTCACGTACTCCTCGCCTCAGGCCACTCCTCAACCTACTCGCCACTCGCTCTCAGCTCTGCCTTCGGATGAGTCCGTAGAGTCGAGTGGCCTGTATCCAGAGCTTGTTGGCTGCCTCATGTACCTGATGACCTGCACGCGACCTGACCTTGCATACCCTCTTAGCATTCTTGCACGCTATGTTGCTCCTGGGAGACACCGACCAGAGCACATGGCTGCAGCGAAGAGGGTGTTGCGCTACTTGTGCAGTACGTCGGGCATGGGGCTAGTGCTTGGAGGGCGGAGTCCAGTGGTCCTCACTGGGCACGCGGACACTTCTTGGGCTGACGACCAGGCTACGCAGCGGTCGTCACAGGGTTACACCTTCAGCCTTGGTTCCGGCTTTGTTTCGTGGCGGGCTGCCCGCTCGTCTTCTGTTCTCGGCTCTAGTTGTGAGGCTGAGATCTACGGCGGGGCTATGGCTGCCCAGGAGATTCGCTGGCTCACCTACCTACTGACGGACCTTGGAGAGCCGCCTCGTTCTCCTCCAGTCCTGTACGTAGACAACAAGGCCATGCTGGCCTTGTTTCGAGAGCAGCGACTGGAGCACAGGACAAAGCACATTGCTCTCCGCTACTTCCTTGCTCGTGAGCTACAGCAACGTGGACAGCTGCGGCTTGCGTACGTGGCCTCTGAGGCCAACACTGCTGATGTCTTCACCAAGGCACTTGCGCCTTGTGATCATCAGCGCTTCTGCACTCAGCTGGGTCTTGTGCCTGTCTTGCCTCTCTTGCTCACTTCTTGACCTTGCTTGTACTATTACATATATATACTCCTGCTCTTGCTTGCTTAGCCTCATACATATAGATATATGTGCTCCTGCATGTGAACTGGCCTTTTGGCCTTTGAACTTGTGCTCGGAATGTGTGGTGACTTTGTGATCCACCCTGAGCTTTGCTTTGCTTTGCCTGACTAGTCTTGTGACCCCTTGTTCTCCCCCACTTTGCCTATGGGGGTGTGTCAAATTATAATATTCTGTAGGCTATAGTGGGGTAGCCCATATGGGGTACACATTTCTAGGGTTGCATACTTGTATCACTTTCATTCCATAGTTAATTCATTCTCGTTCTACTTTTCTCAATAGTGTCGCTGCGAGCCGAATCCTCATTCTATCGTATGTTGGGGTCGTATAGCCAACGACCTCGAAGTAAATTTCGAGGGTCGCAATGAATCGACGGACGTCGGTGTCTCTCGCATTACGATTTAAAGTTTCTGGTAGCCTCGGACGTGCCGCCTCAAGATTCAATGTAGCCGCTGCCGCTGCTGCTGGTTGAAGTGTCGGTGTCGCTGCTGCTGTTGCTGCTTGCGTCGCTGCTGCATTCGCTGCTACAATCGGTGCTGCTGTGGCGGCTACTGACTGGTTCGCGAGGAGCTCCTCTATTCGCTGGAGTGCCGCTCGCGTCTGGTCCAGGCCGGTGTGTAACTCCGTAATTTTGGTACGGAATTATCACCCTTTTCCTCCATTTGGTGATTAACAGGAAGATCTGTGACGAAAATAAATGAATTCTAGGAAATGACTGTAGGATTAACAGTAAGATTTGGTCATCTTGCTGTGAGTCGAATCGACTGTAGAAATGACGAGCGCTGATTCTGTAAGTCGCGTAATTCTCCCTTAGTCGAAATTTGCGTCCGATCTCGGCCGTTGAGAAGAAATTTGATCTGACGCTCCAAATTCCAACCTTTTTGGTCGAAATTCCCAGGGCCGTTGAGTTTCGGATCAATCTAACGGACGAAAGAAGGAGCAAACCCAAGAGCCGCAAGCGTAGTCCTCAGTGTGTCGTGCCACTCACGGGGCGCCTGGCGGAGACCGTAGACTGGACGCCAGAGACTCCACTAGGTACCAGGAGGGAACGACCCAGTGAAGCCAGGTGGGCGGCGCAGCCAGATCTCCTCGTGCAGGCTGCCCTGCAAGAAAGCTGTGATGAAGTCAAGAGAGTGCAATTCGTAGTCACGGTGAGCAGCAACATGCAGCAGTACCCGAAGAGTGGTCATCTTCGGGGTGGGAGAGAAGGTCTGAAAGTAGTCAACTCCCTGCCGCTGACTGAAGCCACGAGCCACGTAACGTGCCTTGAAGACAGACGGAGAACCCGGCGGCCGCTTCACCCTGAAGATCCACATGCCACTGACGATGTTCGCCCCAGGCGGGGGAACCTCGTCAACGTAGGTGCAAGTAGACTTCCAGGAAGCCATCTCTGTGTCCATATCTGCCTGCCACTGAGAGGAGTAGGGACCCTCTATCGCCGAGTCGGGATGTTAAGTGCATCCGGGTCTCCCTCAGGGGTAAGCAGTACAGACACGAGATGAGGTGAAGTAGCAGCCAGACGCTGGAACTCCTCCTGCCTGTCCTCAAGGACGTCCGTGCCAAGGGCACACTCACCCCCGATGGACGGAGGACAGACAAACTCAGACTCAGAGACAAGACTAGCAGCGTAGTCTAGGCGACAGCGAGCAGCAAAGTCGACGAGCTCAGCAACTAGGGCAGACGCAGCAGTGGACTCAAAGGAAGGGTCAGTGACGACAGTAGCAAGGAGACGCGTGACAGTAGGACTAGCAGCACGAAGAGAGTCCGATTCCGCGTCGGCAAGATAAGGATGAGAGGACCCAGGAGGAGAAGGCAAAGGGGCACGCAGAGGAGCAGTGGACGGACGCAGAGACATCCGATGCGTGCTTGGGATAGGAGGACGCTGAAGCGAACCACGACCACTAGTGCGAGCAGCACGGACAGGCGACGCAGGGCGAGACGCAGGCTCACGACGCTCAGCAAGACCTCCAGTAGGACGAGTGTAGGGAGAAGGAGCAGGCAGAGGGGAGGCCGGCTGTAATTGTAACTGTGACGGGACAGGCTGTGAACACTCTAAGGGAGGAGGAGGACCAGAAGAAGGTGGAAGACCAAGAACCTGCTGCAGGAGCGGAACGAAGTACGATCGAGGCCGCGCGGCGACTCCAGACACAGCAGGGACAGCACCAGCACCCCCAGCAGGAGCACCAGCTCCAGCAGCACCTCCAGCTCAAGTACCCGCAGCAGCTCCAGTAGCTCCAGGACCTCCAGCAGCACCAGTAGCACCCCCAGCAAAACCGCCAGCAGTAGTCTCAGTTCCGACACCCGCAGCAGCACCAGCTCCAGTCGAACCCGCCGGCCCAGCAGCTCCAGTACGCCCAGTACGAGCACCTCAGTAGCCGAAGAACCTCCAGCTCCAGCAGCACGCCTCCAGCGCCGGGCAAACCACTCGCGCAGCTCCTGGGGAGAGAGTGGCTCCCGCCGAGACGAAGCACCCGGAGAACCTCCAGGTCCAGCACCACCAGACGCCACACGAACAGGTCCAGCTCCCTCAGGCTCCACACCTCCAGGCGTAGCACCCCCAGGCTCAGCACCCCCAGGCTCAGCAACCCCACGCGTAGCACCCCCAGGCTCAGCACCCTCAGGCTCAGCACCCCCAGGCTCAGCACCCCCAGTAGTAGCATCCACAGGCTCAGCACCCCCAGGCGTAGCACCCTCAGGCTCAGCACCACCAGGCTCAGCACCCCCAGTAGTAGCACCCTCAGGCTCAGCACCCCCAGGCGTAGCACCCACATGCGCAGCACCCCCAGGCTCAGCACCCTCAGCAGCACCAGAGTCACCAGTAACCTCGACAGGCTCGACTGCGTCTACCTGGGACACACCTGAAGGGGCAGGACCCTGAGGGGGGAGGGGGTCTACCCGGGGGGGACCTGGCACAAGGAAGAGCGGTGGCGGGGGGAGGGACGGAGTGCGGTAGGGGAAGAGGCGGTAGTAGGGGACCGACTCGTCAAACGTGACGTCCTATGAGGACAGAACCCGGCGAGAGGTGGGGCGGCCTCTTCACGGCCCCTTCGCGGCACCTTCGCGGCCCCTTCGCGGCCCCTTCACGGCCCCTTCGCGGCCCCTTCACGGCCCCTTCGCGGCACCTTCGCGGCCCCCTCGCGGCCCCTTCGCCGCCCCTCCGCGGCCCCTTCACGGCCCCTTCGCGGCCCCTTCGCGGCCCCTTCACGGGCCCCTCACGGCCCCCCTCGCGGCTCCCTTCGCGGCCCTTTCGCGGTCCCGCCCCGCTGCCCGTAGCGGCCCCGCCCTGTCGCCAATCGCGGCCCCGCCCCGTTGTCAGTCGCGGCCTCGCCCCGTCGCCAGTCACGGCCCCGCCCCGTCGCCAGTCGCGGCCCCGTCGCGTCGCCCCCGCCTCGTCGCGACGCCCCTGCGGGACCCGCGAGGCGCGGCTCCTGTGCGTCGCGGCGCCCCTGCGGGACCCGTGTGGCGTCACCCCTGCCCTGACCCGCCGCGCCCTGCCGTAACCCGCGCCCTGGAGCAGCCGCCACTGCAGCAGCCGCCCCTGGAGCAGCCGCCACTGTAGCAGCCACCCCTGGAGCAGCCTCCCCTGCAGCAGCCGCCCCTAGAGCAGCCGCCCCTGAAGCAGCCGCCCCTGGAGCAGCCGCCACTGCAGCAGGCGCCCCTGGAGCAGCCGCCACTGCAGCAGCCGCCCCTGGAGCAGCCTCCCGTGCAGCAGCCGCCTTTGAAGCAGCCGCCCCTGGAGCAGCCGCCATTGCAGCAGCCGCCCCTGGAGCAGCCACCCCTGCAGCAGCCGCCCCTGGAGCAGCCGCCCCTGGAGCAGCCATCACTGCAGCAGCCACCCCTGGAGCAGCCACCCCTGCAGTAGCCGCCCCTGCAGCAGCCGCCACTACCGCAGCCGCCCCTGGAGCACCCGCCACTGTAGCAGCCGCCCCTGGAGCAGCCGCCCCTGCAACAGCCGCCCCTGGGGCAGCCGCCACTGCAGCAGCCGCCCCTGGAGCAGCCACCCCTGCAGTAGCCGCCCCTAGAGCAGCCGCCCCTGCAGCAGCCGCCCCTGGAGCAGCCGCCCCTTCAGCAGCCGCCCCTGGAGCAGCTGCCCCTGCAGCAGCCGCCCCTGGAGAAGCCGCCCCTGCAGCAGCCGCCCCTGGAGCAGCCGCCACTGCAGCAGCCGCCCCTGCAGCAGCCGCCTCTGGAGCAGCCTCCCCTACAGCTGCCGCGGAGCCCTCGCCCTACAGTGGTAGCGGCCTCGCCATTGCCGCCATCGTACGCCTGCCCTTCTCGCCACTGGTGAGCACTGCAGTGCCCGTACTGCTGTTATTGCTGCTCTTGCTGCTACTGCTCTTTCTACTGCGACAGCTGCTCGTGGCGTGGCCAGATGCAGCTCCAGCGCCGTCCGCGTGAGTCCCTCGCCCCCCAACAGCTTCGTGAGTGGTACGCTAGTTGGGGTTGTAGGGGTGGCCGTAGTGGGAGCCGTCCTGGAGTGAGTAGTTCGGCAGCTGCTTGTAGTGGCCAGGTGCAGCTGTAGCGTCGTCCGTGCGCGGTCCTTTCGCCCCAGCAGCTTCGTGAGTGGTACGCTCAGCGTGACGGGTCACGGGGTACTGCCCGCTGTCCGTACGTCATTCGCACTGGTGCTCGGACTGGTCAGCCTTGCAGGACGTTTGGTCACTCAGAGTCCTGCTGCTTCGCCCGTCTGAGCGACGCCTAGCGTACGAAGTTTGGCGACGCGACTGAGCTCCCCGACTGGGTGGAGCTGCATAGGCTGCGGGTAGGTATCTATACTCTTGACTATGCTGCTATCCTCACTGCCATGTATGCATTGCCTACTAGTGATGAGGGTGACTGTTACCTGTGTGTTCCGCCTGACCCGGACATAGAGACTGCTGCTCTAGGTGCTGGTGAGGCTGCTGCTCTAGGTGCTAGTGCGTCTGCTGCTCCAGGTGCTCGTGAGTCTGCTGCCCCAGGTGCTGGTGAGTCTGCTCTCTCAGGTACCACGTCGGCTCAGGCCTTACACACCTTCACCCTTGACTCGGGTGCTTCCTGCTCCTTCTTTCGAGACCGCACCACACTCACGCCGCTTAGTCGGCCAGTTGCGGTCTCCCTGGCGGACCCCTCTGGGGGTCCTGTCCTTGCCCTCTTCTCCACTGTCTTACCGTGTCCGGCAGCCCCCTCTGGCACCCTGTCAGGTCTCTACCTCCCCTTGTTCTCTACGAACTTGGTGAGTGGTGCTGATCTACAGGATGGGGGGGCTGACCAGTTCAGTCCTGGAGGTCAGCGGGTGACCCACTGTTCGTGTGCTCGGACGGGCCGACACTTGGCCACGTTTACCCGTCAGCCGGGGTCGAGCCTGTACACACTGACTACTCAGTCTCCTCCGGTTGCTGAGTCTGGTCAGGTAGCTGCGTCGGGTCAGGTGTTTGCTGCAGCGTCCAGGTCTGGTCCTGAGTTTGCTCCCTGCTCGTGTCGTCTCCTGTCCCACCGTACTCTCCTCTGGCACCAACACCTTGGTCACCCCTCCCTGCCTTGTCTCCGAGGCATGGCCTCCCGTTACCTTGTCTCTGGTCTTCCCCGGTCCCTCCCTCCCCTCCCTCTGGGGCCTGCCCCTACCTGCGTTCCCTGCGTTGAGGGGCGGCAGCCCGCCGCCCCTCACTCCTCCGAGTTTCCTCCGACAGAGGCTCCGCTGCAGACTCTTCACATGGATGTGTGGCCCCCCCCCCGCGTCCGTGGCCAGGGTCACGAGCGTTACTTCCTGTTGGTGGTTGACGACTACTCGCGTTACACCACGGTGTTCCCCTTGCGCAGCAAGGGTGCCGTCACTGAGGTGTTGATCGACTGGATCCGCGCGGCTCGTCTCCAGCTCAGAGAGAGTTTCGGCTCGGACTTTCCTGTTCTGCGTCTGCACTCGGACAGAGGCAGGGAGTTTTCCTCTGCCCTTCTGGGAGCCTTATATCGTGCACAGGGCATCCGCTAGACCTTCACGCTTCCGGCCTCTCCACAGCAAAATGGGATTGCTGAGCGCCGCATTGGCATGGTCATGGACGTCGCTCGTACGTCCATGATCCATGCGGCTGCTCCCCATTTTCTGTGGCCGTTTGCGGTTCAGTACGCAGCGCATCAGATCAACCTTCAGCCCCGAGTCTCCTTGCCAGAGACCTCCCCCACCCTGCGGTGGACGGGGAAGGTTGGCGATGCGTCTGCATTTCGTGTCTGCGGATCTCGGGCGTTTGTCCGCGACTTGTCTGCGGACAAGCTGTCCCCCCGTGCTGTTCCCTGCGTCTTCCTTGGCTTCCCCACTGACGCGCTTGGTTGGCAGTTTTACCACCCCACCTCGCGCCGTGTTCTGTCCTCCCAGGACGTCACCTTTGACGAGTCGGTGCCTTACTACCGTCTCTTCCCCTACCGCACTGCGCCCCTCCCCCCGACGCCGCTCTTCCTTGCGCCAGGTCCCCCCCCGGTAGACCCTCTCCCCCCTTAGGGTCCTGCCCCGTTAGGTGTGTCCCAGGTAGACGCAGTCAAGCCTATCGAGGTAGCTGTTGACTCTGGTGCTGCTAGGGGTGCTAAGCCTGGGGGTGCTGAGTCTGGGGGTGCTGAGCCTGGGGGTGCAGAGCCTGGAGGTGCGGAGCTTAGGGGTGCTGAGCCTGGGGGTGTGGAGCCTCGGGGTGCTGGGTCTGCTCGTGTGGCCTCTGGCGGGGCTAGGTCTGGGGGCCCTTCGGGTGCTTCGTCTCGGCGGGAGCTACCCTCTCCACAGGAGCTGCGCGAGTGGTTTGCCCGGCGCTGGAGCCGTGCTGCTGGAGCTGGAGGTGCTACTGTTGCTGCTGACCCTGGGGTCGTCGCTGGGGGTACTGGGGCCACTGGTCCTAGAGGTGCTCGTTCTGGCGGTGCTGGAGCTGCTGGGACTGGAGGTGTTGCTGGGGCTGCTGGAGTTGGTGCTGCTGGAGGTACTGGAGCTGTTGGTACTGCTGGGGGGACTGGAGCTGCTAGGCATGTAGGTGCTCCTGGTGCAGGAGCTACTGGCGGTGCTGGAGCTGGCAGTCCTGCTGGGGTAGGTGCTGCTGGAGCTGGAGCTGCTGGGGGTGTTGGCACTGGGGGTGCTTTTGGCGCTGGAGCTTTTGAGGGTGCTGGAGATGGCGCTGTTGGAGCTGGAGCTGTTGCTGGCACTGGTGCTGCCGCTGGGGGTACTGGTGCTGTCCCTGCTGTTTCTGAAGGCGCTGCGCGGCCGCGGCCGTACTTCGTTCCGCTCCTTGAGCAGGTTCTTGGTCTTCCGCCTTCTACTGGTCCTGCTCCTCCCTTAGAGTGTCCACAGCCTGTCCAGTCGCAGTCACAGTTACAGCCCGCCTCCCCCCCTGCCTTCTCCTTCTCCCTACACTGGTCCTACTGGAGGTCTTGCTGAGCGTCGTGAGCCTGTAGACTTTGCTGCGCGCTGTCGTCTAGACTACGCCGCTAGTCTGGTTGCTGAGTCTGAGTCTGTCTGTCCTCCGTCCGTCGGGGGTGAGTGTGCTTTTAGCACGGACGTCCTTGAGGACAGGCAGGAGGAGTTCCAGTGTTTTGCTGCTGCTTTGCCTCATCTCATGTCCACGCTGATTGCCCGTGAGGGAGACCCGGATGCACCAGACATCCCGACTCCTCGATCGTACGCTGAGGCGATCATCCTGCCTGCAGCAAGAGTCTGTGCAGAATACAACCTGCAGGGGTACACATGCAAAATCATAAACAAGCAACAGCAGGTACTGCAGGCGGATTGACACTAGCTGGTCACCCCCTCCATCTCCTCACCCTCCTCCTCCCCTTCCCCCACACTGCTGCAGGAGCAGCAGAGAGGGGGGGAAGAGAGGAGAGGTGGAGGGACGGCTGCTGGTTGCCTCACACCCGCCACCCCGGTGCCACTCCCCCTGCTCCCCCACACCCTCACACCCTCCCCCCCAGCGGCAGCTGCAGCAGTGGGAACAAAAGGAGGAGGAGGGGAAAGGAAGGATACGACCCAACACTCCAACACCCGCCACCCCCATACCCTCCTCCCCACGGCTGCAGGGAGACAAAGGAGGAGGGGGTGGGCGGGAAGAAAGCCGCAGAGCGGCTACATTGTGTCGGCGCAGGTAGGTCAGGGGCGGCTGCAGGGAGAGCAGGTGCGGGAAGGGGACCCGTCGCGTGCCACGGGGCGCACGACGGGCAAGTTTAAGTTTAGGGCCCGGTCGTGTGCCTCGGGGCGCACGACGAGCAGGGCACCGTCGCGTGCCACGGGGCGCACGACGGGCAGGTTTAGGGCACCGTCGCGTGCCACGGGGCGCGCGACGGGCAGAGAAGGAGTCACTCGCCAACCGGGGGCAGGACAAGAGGAAATCGCCACGCGCCCTAGGCGCGCGACCGGGAAAAATAGCAGCGGAAGCATATTGGCGGGCCCACAGGCCAGGACGTAAAACACTCTGATAGCATATCAAATTCCTTACTTGCTAAGTAGGTGAAAGTGTAGGACGGCCTAGGCTTAGTAGCCTAGGCCAACGAGATCGAGTAGTTCGTGCCAAGGATGAGAGTCGAGAAAGTTGGAAAGGATGGTTTCACTATAGGTTTCGAAGAACATATAGCAAAGGAAACAAAGAAGGTGCACCACCAAACAAAGTATATAATTGCTACACTAACTACAGCTACAGGCAGTTACAAATATAAGTTCTAACACGGGATTCTTAGCATTGGTTATGGCAGCAGCAGAGGAGGAGAAGCCGAGTTCGGAGCTACCTGGGTTGGAGTAAAGGAGGTGTTGGAGCAGCACAAGGATATAATGCCCGACGACCTACCCACAGGCGTACCTCCAGCACGCACCCACGAGCACGAGATCGTGGAGGAACCAGGTGCGAAACCCGTCTCACGCGCACCATACCGACTGAGCCCGACCGAGCTGACAGACTTGAAGAAACAGATAGAGTATCTACTGAAAAGACAACTGATCCGCCCATCCACCTCTCCCTACGGTGCACCAGTTCTCTTCACTCCAAAACCAGACGGCAGTTACGGTTGTGCATCGACTACGGCGCACTAAACAAACAGACAGTAAAAACAAATACCCCATACCGCGTATCGACACCCTTCTGGATCAACTGCATGGTGCAACAGTCTTTTTGAAGCTGGACCTACGGTCGGGTTACTGGCAGATCAAGATGGCGGACAACTCGATCCACAAGACGACGTTCCGCACCAGATACGGCTCCTATGAATACTTGGTGATTCTGTTCGGACTCTGCAACGCACCAGCAACGTTTCAGGTGGAGATGAATCACATCTTACGACCCCTGCTGGACGAGTGCGTAGTAGTGTACCTGAATGATATCCTTATCTACTCCAAGAACATGGAACACGTGGAGCATCTGCGGAAGGTGTTCGAGATCCTGCGGAAAAACAAGTTCTACGTGAAGCTGTCAAATAGCGACTTTGCACCGAAGAAGGTGCAGTTTCTCGGGCATATGTAGAGTTCCAAGGGCGTACACATGGATCCACGGAAGATCGAAGCCGTCAAGAAGTGGAAAGTACCGGAGAATGTGAAGGAGTTGCAGCAATTCCTAGGCTTCGCCAACTACTACAACATGTTCGTGCCGCAGTATGCTAAGATAGCAGCGCCACTGACCGACCTACTGAAAAAGGATACGCCCTACAAATGGGATACGCCTCATTAGCAAGCTATGGAGCAGCTACATACAGCACTGACTACATTGTCGGTACTCATCCTACCAGATCCAGACAAGGACTACGTGGTGGAAGCAGACGCTAGTGCCCAAGCAGTCGGAGCAGTACTGATGCAAGATCACGGACGCGGTTTGCAGCCC